CATTTTTCTAGAACTAAAAAAGTTTTTATAAATAATAAGTCAAAATGACAGGATTTTTCCCTAAAACAAGCAAAATATTCTGCCAGTGAGGTAGGTCATTAAATTTAATAATAATATACACGTTAATATATTTTCATTGAGTAAAAATGACACAACATAATTATTAATATTGATATATAATGTAAGTGATCATACTAAATTGTATAATATTTCCAATATACATATATATATATATATATATATATATATATATATATATATATATATATATATATTAGGGCTGTCAAAATTAGCGTTAACGCACATGATTAGTTTGAAATATTTAACGCATAAAAAAAAATTTACTCAAATAACGCAGTTGCAGTTTTTTTCCCCTGTTGTGGCCGACGTGTGTTCAGGGACGGCGTGTGCATTGGGCGACCTAGGCCTTGTGGGCAGCAGAATAGTGAGCGACCTCCCCGGTCTTTACTTTCATTCACTACACCCACCCTCTCCCTCACGGTCCTCGCTTTCATCAGCAGACCGGTCACTTTCTTTTTCACTTTCGGGTTGAAGGCGGTGTGATTGCTCTGGCCCTGCGTGTGTTTAAAGTGCAAAGAAATTTGGATAAGCTCAAGGACGCGCTTCCTAGGAGGCTATCCTGCATTTCCTCCAGAGTTTCATGCAGTTTCGGGTGTTGAATTTTTTATCATTCGACTTTAACTGCAGTTCACTCTCATTCAGCATATTTTCATTCAGGATGGAATTTGTTACCTCATGGTGAATGGAAAGAAAAACCTCCGCATTTCGGGACTCGTGTGGTCCTTTAAGGTAATCAAAAATCGCTGCTTACATAGTAGACTCTTAATCAGTATTATCTAGCGGAGAATTGGTGTCCATGTAAACGTACTGTAGTGAAAGTGGCAGATGAAGTCGCAAGCTATAACGACAGCCCTATTCACTGCCTTAAAGGGTCACGAAACACCAAAACACATTTTTTGAGCTGTTGACAGTCGTACATGTGTCCTACACTGCTATAAACACTATTAGGACACCTATATTTCACTAAAAAGTGTAAATTGGTTGTTTTTGCGTTATTTTTAAGCAAATTCGTACTTCCTGTTTGAAACGAATTTTTGAAGCTGCGTCACGGTCATAACATAATAGCGTTGTATTCCAGCGTGCAGACTGGGCGTCTGTGCCAGAGTGAGTCTTATTACGTCTTACAGTGTGCTGCATTAATGCATGAGTAAGGCTTGGGTCAAACCAATCACCGCGCTCTATTGTGCAACTTCATTAATATTCATTAGTGTCACCGTGTTTACACCACAAAGACGCCACGTTGTGTTTGCAAAACAAGCGTGAAGTGTTGCTTTTATAGTTTGCTGCAGTTAAGTTTCGTTTTCATTTCCTCTCTGTGAGAGCGCAGCTGGATCACGTGTGGATTAACAGTGTACGCGACGCTCGACAACAATAACTTACGTGTCTAAGGAGGATTATTGTTTACCTGAGAGCTGTTCTCATCTGCAAACGCTGAAATCTGGATTCGCTTGTAGTATTCTCTCCATAAAGATGCGGCTCTAGTTGCTGGTGATTGTCCTGTCTCTACAGATTTGGTAAGTGAGCGACCAGTGCTCTTTGTTTATTCAGTTTGTTCGTATCGAATTAAGTTAACTATTGCACTGAGTGCAGAAATGTTAGCACCGCATTTAGTGACCGGAATAACACACGCGGCTTTCTGACACTACCTGCCGTGTGCATCTAAGTTTCAGGGAAATGCAGAGTTTTTTTTTCTCTCATTCGCCGTGCGGTATCAAACATTGCATGAAAAATACACGCTTGCAGCAGTTCCTCCAATCAAATATCTCGTTTGTCGTGAGGGACATGAATGAATTCCCTGAATGAAAGAGCCAAACTGCAGTTAAAGTCCAACATTTAATAATTTGGCAAATAATTCGACTACAGATGTCAATGTAGGTTAAACACCATCACTTTCTCCTGTCTGTGTGTGTGTGTATTTTGACTCTGAAACTCGCGCGTGCACAAATAGACACTCCCACACCATCCCACTTTAATTCCTCCGACACTCCCCCCTAAACAGAGCTGGACACGCCCACTTTTCTGACTTTTTCCAAAGTAGAGGTGTGAAAACACCCTGCTGAAACGAGGGGGTTTCATGGCCCTTTAAGCTGCTTCTATGAGGTCTCACATTTCATATGTTTGACGTGTTCCCCCCCTACACCCAACTTCTGTAAAGCATCTGCTTCAGGTTGCTGTGTCAGAATTCTTGCTTGTAAAATACAGCCATACTTTAGAACACTTAGTTTAAGCAAATCTGATGAACGCAATCTTGCATGTTGATTAATCTGAAGGGATCCCTCGCTCACCGGGTCTGCTGTACTGCGCGCATTGTCTCTCTCCCTGTGTGTCTGTGTAGTCCACTTAAAATCCAACATGAAAATCATTTCAGTTTGTTATTGGCATTGATTGTTTTGAAACGGAAATGGAGCTTACATACCTGTGTTTTTACTTCTGTAATAAATACGGTGTTTAATGAATAATCATGACTAATTACAAAAACAAGTGTGATTTATTACACTCATTTTTTAAATCATTTGACAGCCCTATTTTATGTGTGTGTGTGTGTGTGTGTGTGTATATATATATATATATATATATATATATATATATATATATATATATATATATATATATATATATACACACACACACACACACACACACACACACACACACACACACACACACACACACACACACATACA